TTGCCAAATGGGAACTGTGAGTTAATTGATTTGGCAAATGGGAACTGTGAGTTAATTGATTTGCCAAATGGGAACTGTGAGTTAATTGATTTGGCAAATGGGAACTGTGAGTTAATTGATTTGCCAAATGGGAACTGTGAGTTAATTGATTTGGCAAATGGGAACTGTGAGTTAATTGATTTGGCAAATGGGAACTGTGAGTTAATTGATTTGCCAAATGGGAACTGTGAGTTAATTGATTTGATATGAGATCCTATTATACTCCTCTTTTTAATTTCAAAACGCTTATTCAGTATAAAAACAAAAACCACCTGATTGGTGAACTGAGTCATTGGAATGTTTATGAATTTAATTTGATATCTGACAGATTATCTTCAAGTTAGTTTACTGCCATTCAAAGTTAAAAAATTTTAATTGACTTTTATATTCATCTGTAAGTGTGAAAAAACACACGTTAATTAGTTACTAAAGAAGTCACAGTTCAAAACATTTTTAAAAATAACTGAAACACGTTTTTATGTTGAGAATGATTAAAAAATATATATATGTGGTTGCTACAGTTGTTACAAAAAATTTGAAAGTACATTATAAATACTGAATAATTTACATATCAAAGTTTTAAGCTGAATTACCGTTTGTTTTATACAATATGTACACAATGTAATAAGGTTTGTAATTCCATTTATAAAACACTATTTAGTGTGTATATATATATACTCTATATCATAAAACATTTCAGGAAATATATCCAAGATCATCCAGTGTACGTACAGTTTTGGCAGATACTATAAGTCATTAACAAAATACAGAATCATATTAGTGACTCACATTTACCCGAGTTTGAAACTTTTAGAACTTATTACTCACTTGAGCAGTGTATCCTTGAAATTCCTCTTTGTGTAGGTGCTCTCTGTTCCAACTATCTCTTACAATCTACAATACAATAACAGAATAGAAACAGTCAGGAGTATACTGTGACTTCTTTAGTAACTAATTATCTTGTGTTTTTTCAATAGAAACAGTCAGGAGGTATACTGTGACTTCTTTAGTAACTAATTATCTTGTATTTTTTCAATAGAAACAGTCAGGAGGTATACTGTGACTTCTTTAGTAACTAATTATCTTGTATTTTTTCAATAGAAACAGTCAGGAGGTATACGGTGTCTTCTTTGGTAACTAGTTATCTTGTGTTTTTTCAATAGAAACAGTCAGGAGGTACGTTAGTAAAATTTTAATAACAAAACTATAATAAGTAAAATGCATGGAGTACATTTAAATTTATGCTAAGGTCAAGGTTATGTCGTGACATCACCATTGGGTGTACTTAACATATATTCAGTTGCGTGAGGTACCTAATGATGCCACATTAATGGTAGCAAAATGTTGCTTTATTGTATGTTTTTTTCTGCCCTATTTTTAATTGTAATCACAATTGTAATCCTATTGTAAAAACTAAGAAATTTTATTTCTGAACGAGGTACCACAGTTAATTAGGTTCACAACAAAAATGTTAACGGTGGCGAAACGTCATTTTCTTGTATATTTTTTCTTTCCTACTTTCGCTGTTTTTAATTTTGAAAGCATATGGGATATTGCCAGTATTTATACGTTTGGAAAGTTTAAAGCACAAGAACATTTAAATAAAATATAGATACGAGATATTTAGCAGAGTTTGTTGTTGTTCAGTGGTTTTGTTTTTTTCTAAACTTTTATAGGAACTTTACTTTGTTTTAGTTAGCTTAATTTTTGTCTACGATTAGTTCCGAGTTTGATCGCTATATTATGATAAGCTATTTGCGATTTAACTACGTGTGTGAAAGGTTTTTAGTCTTAAAATGTGAATGGTTTATAAAATCACAACTCTGTAGGATGAGTTTCCCTTTTACGGGTATTCTTGGCATAATTCAAAGTCTTCCACCACTTCACCTTAACCAAATCAGAATCTTATTCAAAAGCTGCCTGTTTTTATTAGTTTTCTTTACAATATAAAGATGTCATGGCCCTGATAGTTAGGGCACTCAACTCACAATCTTAAAGTTTCTTGTTTGAATCCCATTATAGAACATGCTTGCCCTTTCAGACGTGAGGATGTTAAAATGTGACAGTCAATCCCAGTGTTTGTTGGTAAAGAGTAGCCCAATAGTTGGTGGTGGGTAGTATTAACTAGCTGTCGTCTACCCTCAAAATTAGGGACAGATAGGTTCGAAGTAGCTTTGCAGGAAATTCAAAAACAAACAGAAGGTGTTTTAGTATTTGTATGCAAAAGTTTTTGGTTATCATTTAGTTGCACGAAGAAATTTACATAATTGTGTCAAAGCTTAAAAAATGGAGTTGATTTTTTTTCAAACACATCATAGAAAAGAAATATGACAGTATTATTTGTTTGACCAGGTAGCGTACAATATTCTTCAGCTTTGTGCTTTCACCATAATGGCTGTGTTGATCATGAGACTGAAACTGTTTTTCACACCACAACTCTGCCTTATAGTCTCCCTGCTGTCGTCCAGAAAGGTACGTTATAGTCTCCCTGCTGTCATCCAGAAAGGTACGTTATAGTCTCCCTGCTGTCATCCAGAAAGGTACGTTATAGTCTCCCTGCTGTCATCCAGAAAGGTACGTTATAGTCTCCCTGCTGTCATCCAGAAAGGTACGTTATAGTCTCCCTGCTGTCGTCCAGAAAGGTACGTTATAGTCTCCCTGCTGTCGTCCAGAAAGGTACGTTATAGTCTCCCTGCTGTCATCCAGAAAGGTACGTTATAGTCTCCCTGCTGTCGTCCAGAAAGGTACGTTATAGTCTCCCTGCTGTCGTCCAGAAAGGCACGTTTTGATCTTTATTGTGAGAACGTTTAAAAGCTCTAAAAGTCGGAACATTTTTTGGGGGACAATATAATGCTATGATTTGTTTTGCTTTGTGTGATAGAAAGAAAATGTTGGTTTTTATTTCCTGTTATTTTTACATGATTTATAATAATAATAATTACTACCTACTTAAATTACCTCCCACTAATAGGATACAAATTTTATTTTTTATTATTGTAGTGTTGTTGTAAATTAATCTTGCCTTATGTCATCTTCAACAAATGTATTAAACTTCTCTTTATTAGCAGTAAGTAGCGGGCTGATTCCCACTTAATTTACATGTGAATCCCATGGTCTCTTTAAGGTTGTTGATGGAGAGAAATGGTGCTTTAGGCAAAGTTTTAGCAACAGCATCCAGATTGTGACTAATACCAAGGTTCAGATCAGTTCTGTTAAAATAGGCTTAGTGTGAAATATGCTACAGTCACTCTTCTTAAAGTGTACTTCCAGTGAAGTAGTTTGTAGCGTGTTTCTTTATTCGTTAGCTCAGGACGTAGAATATAACTGTGTTAAAAACTTATAATCAATATGAGCATTGTTTTTTACCTACCAAATACTTTTATTTGGAACTGTACCTTTTAATAACAGATGGCAAATTAAGAAGTACAGAAGGTTAAATTGAAATGATTTTTAAGCCTCACCATGTCATTATATTACAATTTGTCATGTCAAGGCTTATTCTATCTGCTGACCTTGCATCTTGACAATAACCCTACAGCATAGTTTCCATTGCAAAAGATTTGGTAATAAGGCTGTCATTTTTAAAGTGCATCATTTTTCCCTGCATGCTTTCCTTATCCATCTGGTGTTCCAAATCAACAGCCTGATCACACAGAAATCCACAGGGATTGCATTTTGTGATAATTAAATGGGTGGTAGGACTGGAAGCATTATCTTAATGAATTTGTACCCTGTTAGTCTCATTTTGAGATGAAAATACTTCTTGATTATGTTGTGTATTATTGACCGAGATACATGGGTGACTTTTGTGTTCATGAATCCTCACCACTTACAAGACATTGCACTTTGCATACCACTGCTGGGATATGACTTGTTGCAAGTCTCTGTGGGTGGTCTTGGTACCCCAAATTGATCCATATTACTGTTTTTTTCTTTGTCATTAAGTATAAATGACATTACTTTTAAATCCAAACCTGAACACATATTTATGATCTGAGTGCATGAATATTTTATGTGAAAAATGACCATTATTACCCTTCCCAAAGTGATCAGTTTTTGGTGACATCACAATACCCACAAGATGTCAAAATGTGGTTGTATATGATTTTAATTTTGTGCATACTAGTTTAATAGCATGTGTTTAATTTTGAGACTAACAATATGAAAATAGACAGTGACCAAACTTGAGAGATTTACTGTTCTGGTATTATTCTGTTGTAGTTTTTTGGCTTTATTCATTCCATTAAACTTCACTACGCCGGTACAGCCATCATCCTTTGCTTAATGAGCATTCAGGGAATACAAAACATCCAGCATCAACGTAGCATCCTTGGAGAATACAGTAATCCTTCGCTAGAGGAGCTTATTGAATGGGTCAATAGTACTACGTCCCAAGGTGAGATTAATAGTTAACTGAGTGGATCAACCAAATTACAGTGAGATACAAGTTGGTGTTATTTTATAGCTTAATATGTGCACATCTAGTTAAGACTACTTTCCAGACTAACACTAACTTCTTGCTAGACAAAAGATATGTGTCTATAATATTCATAAAATATTACATTTATAATTTTACATTCAATAAAACCAAAACCTTAATCTTTGATACATTATTTTATGAGAAAAATAATGTTTTTTTTGTTTTTTTTCAGATGCTGTTTTTGCTGGACCAATGCCAACTATGGCAAATTTAATGCTGTCATCGAGACGTCCAATCATCAATCATCCTCATTACGAAGATGCCGGTTTAAGGTGCTTCTGTCAAGCTATTATCCTCTCACTTCGTCATCATCGTTGATCCGTGCACTTTAGTTTTAACAGTTTGGTTAGGAATATTCTCCTGTTTATTGGCTGTTAAAAATCGAGAGCCCATTACTTTATATTAGAGTTTACAATCTGTAATTAATTAGCATTCCCTATTTTCAGCATCAAGAAGAAGAAAAAAATGTACATGGATTAAAGATGTGATTATCTACACATTCAGTTGTTAATTGTAATAAGACAGCCTTGTAATACATTGTATTGGATTTATAATCCTATGCATGTCAGTTGGGCAAGAATACGCATGTCAAGTTACCACAGTGATAGGGCTCCATATTATCTGCTTATATAGATGAGGGTAAGGGTGTAGATTTGGTGTATCTGGATTTTCAGAAAGCCTTTAACAAGGTGCCACATGTCAAGTTACCACAGTGACAGGGCTCCATATTATCTGCTTATATAGATGAGGGTAAGGGTGTAGATTTGGTGGATCTGGATTTTCAAAAAGCCTTTAACAAGGTGACACATAAAAGGCTTGTAAAAAATTATCTCTATAGGTGTGAGGGATAAGTTAGCTAATTGGATGGAAGAGTGGCTGAATGTAAGAAAGCAGAGGGTTGTTATAAATGGAGGTCAGTCAGACTGGATTCATGTCACAAGTGAGGTATTTCTGGGCTCTGTCTTAGACCTTTGCTCTTTCTGATTTATATCAATGACATAGATGAAGGATTGGTCAATAAATTACTTAAATTTGCAGATAATACTAAGGTCTTGGATGTTGCTAGCTGTGAAGAGGATGCTGCTGATTTACGAAAGGATTTAGATCACTTAGTGAGTTGGGCAAGTAAATGGCAGATGGGTTTTAATTATAATAAATGGAAGATAATATATGCAGGTTATCATAATTTGGATGAGAATAACCTTAACAGTGTCATGAAAGAAAGATATCTTGGTGTAATAGTTGATCAGTCTCTAAAGCCATCCAAGCTGTTGCTAGTGGTAGGGCAAATAGGATTTTAGGTTGTATCTATAGAAATATTGAATACAAGTGTAAAGAGGTTATACTTTCATTGTATAGGTCATTGGTTAGGCCACATTTAGAATATTATGTTCAGTCTTGGGGCTCCTCACCGTAGGAAGGGCATTGAATTATTGGAAAGGATTCAGAGGAGGGTTACTAGAATGGCGCCTGGGATTGAGGGGTTGTCATATGAGGAGTGGTCGAAATCTCTGAAATTGTTTTTCTTAAAAAAAGAAGAGTTAAGGGGGA